AACCTGATTTACTCAGCAGCACTGCAAATGCGCTGCGCAGGCGTGACAGAATGCAAGGGGGGGGGATGTTGCAGACAGTGGGTGTGAGAGGAAAGGGGGTGTTAAACCCAAGTGGAGACAGGGAGACCCATTCCATGCCTTGGGGGGCTTCCGGATTTCAGGAGGCAGCGTCTGCAACCTGAACCTCGCGTGAAGACTCTACTTGTGTCTTTGGCCAACTGCTATGAGTTCATACACGATGTCTCGCGCTTGGGACTCAGAGACCAGCACCCTGCACATCTCTCTCTCACTCGGGACTCAAAGACCGACACCCTGCACATCTCTCTCTCGCTCAGGACACAAAGACCGACACCCTGCACATCTCTCCCTCACTCAGGACACAAAGACCGGCACCCTGCACATCTCTCCCTCGATCAGGACACAAAGACCGGCACCTTGCACATCTCTCTCGCTCGGGACACAAAGACCGGTGCCCTGCACATATATCTCGCGCTCGGGACACAAAGACCGGCACCCTGCACATCTCTCTTGCGCTCAGGACTCAAAGACCGGCATCCTGCACATCTCTCTCTCGCTCGGGACACGAAGACCGGCACCCTGCACATCTCTCTCTCGCTCGGGACACAAAGACCGACACCCTGCACATCTCTCTCTCGCTCGGGACACAAAGACCGGCACCCTGCACATCTATCTCTCGCTCGGGACACAAAGACCGGCACCCTGCACATCTATTTCCGGTGCTCAGGAGCTGCTGTACTGGCAGGGTTTGTGATTAACTGGGCAAAATGGGAGACATTACTAATATCCCAACAGCCCTGCCGTTAAATGTTTCTACCTCCAAAATAACTCCCAGCGGCCTGACAATTTTAGTGAAAGCTTTAATTCAAAGCGGCATGCAACTGAGAAAGCGGGGTCAGACAGTCCCCAGAGTAACTGGGGGTTAAGGGTCTCGCTCAGGGCAGCAGCAGTGAAACCACTTTTCTGACTTGGGATTTGAATCCACAACTTTCTGATCACAGGCACAGTGTCCTAACCGCCCCCCACGTAGAAGCCCTAGAGGAGTAAGTTGCGTGGGGCAGGCTGCCCCCCCAGTCTTCTAAAGAGTGATCCCACTGACTGGGATTTAAGCATGGCAAAGACGGTCGACCTTTAACCTTTCAGCCAGACTGCCCAATCAGTAAACACCAGAGGAGTCTGGGGTCATGACCCAGGGTTGCAACATGATCTACACTCTTTTATAAAAATAAATAAATACCTAACTCTCATTCAGAAATAGGGACTCCAGTGAAACAAAGAATTTAGCTGAATATACGGTACGTAAATAAGAACAACCAAACCATGTCTCCCTGGTTAAACAATCCCATAATATTAAGGGCAATAAATCGCATTACAGCAAGAAGCTACAACTTAATAGCTACTATTTCAGTATAATCTCAGGAGATCAGAAGAATCAGTTTTTACTTAACTGGCTTATTAACATGTGGGTTTGATTGTAGGTTAACTGGGGAAGCAAGGCATTCTGGGTCGACTGCAAAGGCAACTGGTCCAATACCGACCCAAGAGGCACGTGCAGACCTTTGCTGTTGTCTAACTGGCCAAGGGCACAGACTATTCCAGAATAACAGTAGTCATAGCTGGTTCATTTTGGCTTTTCGATCACCCTCCGAGGTAAAATATACGAGATCCGGGACATATAGATCGGTTGGACTATGGATGCAAACTGAAGCTTTGAGTATACTTCCGTTCTTGAGTTTCCAATCTAACATCCTGCCAGTATTTTTTACAGTTCACCCTAGTATCAGTCACACAATAACAGCAAAGGACCAAAAAGTTTTTGAAAAAGCCACACTGATTGGACTTCTTAAAGGTGAAGATGTTCCCTTCAGCAGATATACAGCAGCGGGATGTAAGAAATTAAATGCACACCGAATCGTCTGACTGTCCTAGACTTGGGTGGGTTAATTTTATTCGATTATACTAGCTTAAGCAAACTAGCTTAAGCCAGGAGTCGAGCTTGTCAACCATCTACACCAGTGTCTCCCAATCCGGTCCTGGCGGAAGCACAGCCGGTCCACGTTTTTGCTTCCACCCAGCTACCTGTCAGACAGTCCACACTTTCAGGAGCTGGGTGGGAGCAAAGACATGGACCGTCTGTGGGTCCCCATGCACCGGATTGGGAGACGCTGCTCTACACCGTCTGCTGCCCTGGATGCAAGAAGCCTCCGCCCCCCCCCATCTCACCTTGGAGCTGCTTGAATCGTCCTTCCAGGATGTTGGAGTGCTGCACCTGATTGATGAAAGTGGCCGGGGAGGGGCACAGATCGCCGAATTTGCGTTCCAGCTCCATCCCGACTTCGATTTCGGACAGATAGATATTAAAAATGAGTGACGATCAAAAGTCTGGGAGAATTTCTTTCCCACAGCTCCTGAGGGCAGCTGAGGTGAGCGAGTCACACTGTAATCCAGCTGGAAAATGAGGAACGCCGTCAGGTCTGGGAAAATCCAATCCCGTTCCTGCCAGTACCTCCCCTAATCCCCCCCCCCCTGCGTACCGGTTCGGTAAGAGCACACGGGCCCCTGCTCTGCCTGTT